AACTGGGTGGAATCCCAGGAAGTTTTCAGATATGAGATTCCACAGTTCGTTGCCAACATGTCTGTCTTATTAAAGTGGAAATTTAAGGATAGCTCTGTCTTGGACTCTGATTTAATTCTGCATGATATTTGGAACGCTGACAATATGAGCCATTTACAATTCTGTCATTCAGCAACACTAATCCAATTATTAAGAAGATAAATAATTACCCATTGCGAAGAAAGGGATTCCCAACAGAGTCGAATTATATTTTCCATCAGTAATGAAAAATATCCCTGCAGCAGTAACACTGGAGATACAGATTGTGAGTACTCCCAAGAGTCCAAGAAATGGCTTGCTGCGAAGGCAATCTTTCATGGAGCTGGAGAGGATGGCCACCAACAGAACAAGCATGAGGCTCACTAAGATCTTGCCCTTGGCTAGGAAGCTGGTCTTGTGAAAGTCCCTCCACAAACTAAAGGATGCCAGAGAATGCAGCTGTAGATCCTTGTGATGGAGCTGCAGCTTGTGTATCAGTTTGCAGAATTCATTCTCCCACTTCTCACCAATGAGGTCCTGGGCTGCAGAATGGTAAGTCTGGAGGTAGTAAGTGATTTGGACAGCTCTGGCTGACTTGACCCTTTGATCCTTGCTGTTTGGCAGCTCCATGACTCCACCAAGCTGATGGCCAATAAAGGTCCTTCTCCCATCCTGAGGAGAAAAACCAAGGGACATATATGTTAGGATTAAGCTTTTTCTTAAGGTACAAATAACAGCACTTCTGAATTTCTCCTACAAAGAGCTTTCTAGAAGACAGACCTAGCTATCCTGCTTTTCTACAAAGATCAAAATTACAAACAATTAGAATTAAAATTTGAAGATCATAAAGACAAAGGGGAGGGCTTTGGGGGTGAAGGAAACCTCAGGGAGGACCATGGTCAACTGGAAGAATTTCAAGGATGGCAAGACACCCCAATTCAATCGCAGTGTGTTGTGTATATTAATTTAACTACTACATGTTCTTGCAAACTAGCAGGGAGAACCAACAAAGCTATAACATTCACAAATTTTGCTGCCTCCTCCTTTTCTTTATAAAAATACTATATCACTGAGAAGGACGGAAATAGACCAGCCTGACAAACAAATGAACAGCAGAAATGAAAGGATTCAAATTTGTTTTTACTTCCATTTATATTTTGGGTTATTTCACATCCAAACAGATAATGCATTTATTTTGTTTTCCAATCACATTAAAAATTAATCTTAATTCCATAAGAACAAACAGGTTTAAAGAAAAGTGCAAACAAAATTGGAACCAATTATGATCCTTTATGCATGAGGAAACATTCACAACAGTTATTTCTCTAACAGAAATTATGAACAAAGTCCATGACCAATTACTATCAATTCATCAATAACCATTTGAAATCGTAACAGAGAGAATTATCCCCAAATTACATATTTCTCATCTCATCAGGGAGATCGGTGGCACATAAATTTAATAAATAAATTGATCTGTAATGATTACCACCAATTGTTCTATGCTGAAGTTCATTAGGTTGATTATGTCTTGACCTGAATGGTAACACAGTTAAATAATTCTTTTTGTAACCCTAATAATCCCATGATTTACATATAGATCTTGAAGCAAAGCTTCAGTTCTATATGCAGTTATTTGGAAGGAAGCCATATGGAATTCAATGGGGCATACTTGTGTAGAATAGATAGTGGCTTCATTCCAAATGTGTGCATAGGCTTCTCTATTAAGATGAAGTTGCCACACTAAATCTCCTTGTTGTAATTGTACTTGCTCAAAGTTAAATAAATCTTTCTAAATCAGAGCTCTTATTTTCAGATTTGAAAAGCAATTGTAATGTGGAATTTCACTATGACAAACAGGTACAAAACATTACACTTGCTGCTGGCAAAACCACCGGTTTTAAATCAGAATAGTGAAATTTCCTAATTTAAGGAATTCATATCTTTTTAAAACCAAACTAATTAAACTGTTTTTCTAATAAACTCACAGAGAACTCATGCATACTGTTGACTTTTGGATTTTTTAAGAATACAAAACAATGCAACACCCTTCTTTGAGAATTACTTTGCTGAGGTAAATTATGCTTTATTTGTCCTACCATAGTGTTCAAAACAATAGGCGAGTACCATTAGCATCTGTGACTCTACAAGGCCTGAAACTGTGTCATTTGATTCTCCTGCCATATGTATTTGGATAGGGAAGTTGTCAGCCCTTCAAGGCAGGCAACAAAAAAGTTGAAAGGGAGAGGCAACTGCTCCTCACAAAACTTTCATACATATAGTTGTCCACACAGAGAAATCTAAGAATATACTGCCAAATACAGTATTGCAATTATTAGCCATTGATCTCAGATATTTTTTGAAAAAACATAAACTTGGCCTCATACTAAAGTAGAATTACCTATGCCTGGAAAGTTAGTCAACTATTTCTTCCTGCACAGTTACATGGTATTTATAGGAAGGAACATATAAATTCCTTTTTGGATTCACTTCCAGTTCCTTTGGATTGGTCAATGTATGACTCATACTTGTGTTGTACGTGATCCTTTCTACTATGATAGGAAAGTGAAGTTTTAGATAGACAATATACACCCATTCTGTTCACGATCCTCTCATCCAATCTACCCTTTCCAAACACTAATATAATATGCTAATACTACAATAGTGAGGGCTACCTCCACTCCTAGGAGATGCTGAGTATCTGAGGAATGCAAAAAATATAGATTGTAAATCACATGTCTATCAGTAAACCAGCCAGCTTGCTTGCCTGAGTTTGTTTCACACAACTGCTGACTGAATATTTTCATAACAGCTAATAACCCACTGATCGTTTAGCCGTAAATTGATAACAAATAGCAATTGTATCATTATATAATCTATAATCTTATGTCAATTCTAAAATAATCCAGGAAGGGTTATACTGCATTCAATAATGAAACAAGAAGGAACAATTCATGATGCCACTAATAATACCTGTTAATTACTTTAAAGTGTGATATTTGTTTGAAATTAATTTCTATACATGCCACTAAGTCAAGACACATGAGAATGAACTTGGAAATTCACAGGCAGAAAGGAGAGGCAGCCTTCAGGCAAGGAAGAGCTGCCTATCACATCTTCATAAAGGCGATGAAAATGCACAAATGGAAGCTTTAGATGTTTTAGTACCATGTGGCGAGTTGGGGATGCAATACTGGAAAAAAAATCTAGGGTGTCTCAGCTATATTGAACCTGCTTTCTATTGTGTTTGCTTCTGAAAAAACGGAGTATGCTTTAGCATCTGAAAATGCTTAGCACTTCTTTCTTATTGGAAGCCAGTCTGAATATATACCTCCTCATCTCTTGAAGTGTTTGGAAGAGAAGTTGCCATATATTTGGCCCACAATTAAGTCATAGTGGAGCTACTGATATGCTCACTTCCAAGGAGAAGGGAACCAACCTATGTTCTCCTGACTTCTGCTTCAAAACTCTTAAAAAATACAAGGTATTTGTGTTGAGAGAGGCTAGAAGCATGAGTCATTGTTGCTTCACTATTATGATCCTGCCAGGTAACATGATTTTAGATGAAAAGGGCAGAAAGGAAATGGAGCTAGTGGCATCAAGCGGCTGGAGATTTCAGCACTACTGGAGCCAGTGATTTCACTCTGACTTGACCAAAGCTAACAGATTCACAAGCTCNAATATCACTTTTAGGGATCTGACATGAAAAAGGGTTTTATAAGCCTTAATTACTCAGGGCATTCTTTTTTCTAGATCTGCTGTGGCTCATGCATAACCTCAGCTTAGACATGCACAAGTTGATTGTTTTGTGCACTAACCTAAAAGCAAGGTAAGTGACATTTTGGCTCTTCTAGAAAAAATAAAAATAAAAAAGACGGCATTTTTTTTTTTGAATGCTATAGATAATTATATGATCACTCTGAATGTTATTACCTAACATAGTGTTTCATGGGGGATATTTTTAATTTCATTAACATCAGAAAAGAAACATACAATTCTTTACTTTTGCTGCCACTTCTATATGGAGACAGGCTGAATTCCAAGGCGTGAAATGTCACTTTTAGAAAGACATCCTCTCTACATAGTAAGGATCAGGGATGAAAAATGAAGGTATCACACAGAAAGCTCCTTAATGTCATTTCAATCTGTATTACTGATTTACAGGTAGAAAGTGATTCAACTATTTCAAAAGAGATTTTTTCCCCCAGATGCTCCTAAATCTCAAAAGAAGAACTTCTATCTTTCGTAGTCCAGAGAATCACATGGGTGTTATCTACTTTCTTCTGTGTGATTCTTATTATTTCACTGATCTAGAAACCATCAGATTCTTCAAATAACACTGTGTGCTATGAATACATGGGGAATAGCCACATCAGAAGCTCACCTTTTATATCCTTGCTTGAAAGTTTATCTCCAAGTAGCACAAGATATCATGTGGACCTTTGCCAAAATAGCTTCATCCAAGGGGAAAATTTTCTTCTGACATGTTCAGAACTGCATATCTATAATTCACTAGATGCTCTTTTAAAATATGATATAATCTTTAGGCCAAGAGCCAAAATAAAGCAGCAGGGTTTGTGTGAAACAGAGAAACAGAGAGAGATCTCCCACCCATACTAGCAATTTTGGTGGGACACCCATCTGTTTAAAGGTAGGATTTACACCCAAGACTCACCCAAACAAACACTTGTTTTATGTTATATGGTTTCTTCATTGAGATCTTGCATTGTTTGTGAAGAACCATTTTAATTGATAATTGGCTATACGGTGTATAACATTCACCATAGATGAATGGGAGAGGCTGAGAAAATGCCAGAGGGTTTCTCTGCCTTCCTCTTAATAAATTACAAGTCACAAACAACATCTCATATGACCTGAATTTCTGACCTAACTTCCACAAGAAGTAAAAGGAAGGCAAAGAAGGAATTGAAAAAGGCTAGATCCAGATGACTACTGAAGACTTCAAATACATTAAGACCTATATTGGTTTAAGACAACACAAATTAGCATTTAAGGTTTGACAGAGAGCTTGAGCGATTGTTTTAGATGTTTGGGGTTTTTTTTTAAATTATGCATCACTGTTTTATAAGTTGCCAAACAAAATACAGCCTTAAAAAACAAATGTTTAAAAGGAGTAAACAATAAATTAATATACTTTGTTTTTCCGGAATGAGGAATTCCCATGATGAAAGAACTGATCACAATTCACCTCGTATTGCTAGCATTTGAAAGTATTCCGAATTTGGTTTGGCACTGTCCTATTAAGGATGATATATAGATCAACACCAGCTCATCTCTGCCGTGAAGCATGGTCCTTTCAATCTTAATGAGCTGATACTTGATGTGCTTTGCATTGCCTATATTTCAGATACAAGCAGTGACGGTTTTCTTAAATTAAACCATCTTACAGTTCCTTAAATATAGAAAGCTGGATGTAGTCATATCTCTGAATATCCTAAATAATGAAAAAGTTTATATATGCCCAGTGAAAAGCTTTTAACTACTGTAGCAAGAATATAGCAATTTTGTCTTACAATAATTTATCTTACAATAATTCAGAAATATTTGCCCTGTAGTTTTATTTCATTTGTTTGTGTGTGAGTGGGTGTCTTTGTATCAGTGGTGAATTGTGGCAATTGACTGGTTCTTGCAGTTTTGTTAGCAAGATT